AAATATATATATATATTTACTAGACAGTTTAGAGAAAATATAAAAACAGGAAAGGAAAAGGAGCAAAAGAAAGGGATAAAAAGATAGGATGCAAATGAACAAACAAGGGATTTGCATTTATTTATTTATTTTTATTTATTTATTTATTTATATTTATTTTGAATTTGGTCATCACCCATCTCACTAGGAGGTGACTCTGGGCGGTTTACTGTAAAATATCATAGAAATTATCATTTTCCAGTAAATCATTAATTTACTGTGAATAACTGAAGGTAATATTGTTTTAAAAGCCTGAGAATTGCTATTAACCTCTAAGCAGAGCGTAAGTATCAAGAACCAAGGTCAGTACAATGAGTCATAGAATGAACCTAGGAGCTAGACTAAATTCTGTCCATACCACTTTTTGGGGAGGGGGGTGCCTTCGAGTCAGTCTTGACTCCTGGCAACTGCCTGGACAAGTCCCTGCAGTTTTCTTGGCAAGATTTCAGAAGTGGTTTGCCCTTGTCTGCTTCTTAGGGCTGGGAGAGAGTGACTGGCCCAAGGTCCCCCAGCTGGCTGCATCCTTAAAGCATGACTAGAACTCATGGTCTCCAAGTTTCTAGCCTGGCGCCTTAACCACTGCACACTACTAAAGTCCTATAAAACTGAAGTATAGACTTTGTGCAGTGAGGAACCCAAATTTTGGATGTGGTACAAATCCATGTATTGAGTTATAGTCTAGGGATGGTTTCCAATTTGAACTAAATTCTGGGTCAGATTTACTTTTAAGATGCAAAGTTATTCTAGACATTGAAGCATCCTCTCACTGAAGTTTCTGAAAAATATTTAAGGCAGCTGCACCGTGTAAATGTAGGCAAGAGAAGGGGCTTGTTGCCTGACCAAAATGATTTGTGGGAGAAACTGACTTCAGGAGAGAGTAAGGCAAGAAAGTTCCAGAGCCACAACATCGAGAGCACTCAGGTTCACAGCTCTCTCTGATTTCTATTTCAAAGCACCTCTTCTGATCTCTCAGACAGACTTTGGGGATGGGGGGTGGGGTTGTTTGATGTGGGTGTATTGATCTTCTATTTCTCTGGCAAGCCTATTGATCCTCCAGCAGCTTCATAGTCCCATGAATCAGTTTCATAGGTTTCATTGTTAGGACTATTGGTCTGCTGGGAGATCAAGAGTCCTATCAGAAGAGGCATAAGTACCTAAGGGGAAAGGAGAGGCAGGCTTAATAAATAAAGCCAATCAAGGTTTGAATCCCCAACTCATCCCAGCTACATGTTCAGCTTTCCCACTAGTAGGTGATGCTGGGTGGATGAGGAAAGGACCACAGGGAATCCACCAATTGCTGCCCTGAAAGTGTCCCACATTTCACAATTATATGAGGGCAGCCACACTGCCTGGGAGTGTTGCTCAGAAATGGTAAAGGTAGGTTGTAACGGCAGCACAAGTTATATCAGTATACTTTCCTCCCAACAGAAAGACAGGATGAAAGCACACTAACATGGCTGTGAGGAAGAGCTCCAGGCATGGACCCTTTAATCCCCTCATTTTATATTTGGTCACCACAATGGTAAGTTTGTTCATTGATTCAGAATAATCCTTCTTCCTCACATGTTTTTTATTTTAAAAAATATCATAAAATATTAAAGAATACACACAAGATGAGGAAGAAATTGGAAGGGGGTTGGTACAAATATCAGTGAATTTTTCTGATGGTCCTCCTCCAGTTCTATGATCTTAAGGGCTCCAAGACATCAGTGTCTACATTGCAGGAGTACATGTTCCCCTTGGACGGCTGTAGCCTTTGGCTTTTGTGCCTTGGGGAAGGACACATGATGGAATCCACTGAGAACTGAAGGCATTTAATAAGCTCCTCCACAAGCACTTATCAGAGTTACTAGCACCTGGAAGCAGGCCTAGATGGTCACAGACTCCAAGGCTACAATTGCCTCCTTCTCTACTGCATCTCTGGTGCTCTGTCACCCTGAAGTTCTCACCATGTCTCAAAAAAGCCCTGGAATTCCCCCCCCCTTTTTTTTTTGAGACTGTTCAAAATCAGTAGCATCCTTAGGGGATGGCCTCATTGCTATCAATGCCTGGAGATCAGTGGGTAAGCAGCCAAGATCTCCCAAAAGGTCAGCCCCACCTGGCCCCATACAAGGCAAGAAGAAAAAGATAATATCTGCCTTTAATCTACTAGTGGGACTTTCTTGCCTGATCAGGCATCTCAGGGCCCTTCATACCAATACCTTTATCATTCGGTTCCCCAGTCTGAAGCTTCTACTCCACTGAGAACACTGAAGCAACACAATAGGCTCTATCATAGTATGTTAGCCCTTTAAGGTAAGGCAAACAAATAAACCAATGCCATATAGGTCTAAAACTACTTTTACTGGAACAACTACAGCTCCTCCTATCCTTCAAGGTCATTCCCTATTCCCTCTGCATAGGAGGAGATTGTGAACTGGTAATCAGCAAGGGCTAATTTTGAAGCCATCATTCCTTCTGTCAAGGTTACTTAAATTAGGGCCTTTGGCCTTCATCTTGGGATCACTGGATCTGCAGCCAATCACTACTAGGGAGTATTTTCCCCCAGCAGCCTCCAGGACCTCCCTGGTTCCTGTGTTATACAGCACACCAGAAATCTGATTGTTGAGATAGTCCTTGGCATCTTACTGTGTAAATCTTCCTGATTAACTCCTCCATCCCTTAGTATTACAGGTAGTCCTCACTTAATGACCACTCATTCAGCGACTGTTCAAACTTACAACAGCGCTGAATGAGTGGTAGTTAGGACCAGTCGTTGCACCTATGTAGGTTGCAGTGTCCCCACAGTCATGATTGGCATTTGCAACCTTCTTTGGTTGTTTCCTATAAGTAAAATCAATGGGGAATCCAGCAGGAGGCCGCAAATGGTGACCACATGGTGTCCTTGCTTAACAGCCCACGGTGATTTGCTTAATGACAGCAACTAGAAGTGCCAGAATTTCCATTGCTAAGCGGCATGGTCATGTGACATTGCACTTTATGACATCACTTAGCAATAGAAATTCCGATCCTAATTACTGTTGTTAAGTGACACTATCACACCAAGGGTGATCTTAGAAGCGTGACTTTCTGCACAAAACTTTTGTGACTTCTGGATTGTCCTCATCCTCCTCATTGCCCTCTGATGGCTTCAGAAATGCCTTTTTGTCAGGATTCTCATTCCTGAAGGGAAAGTTTGATTTCAGACAAGTTGTTCCATTGATTCTATCTGGGCTGGGCAAAGCAGTACCTTGATGATAAACGTGACTTAAATAATTATTAATAGAGCAAATCACCCACCCATCATAGGAAGGGGGAAACTCCATTTTTGTTTAACCTTCCCTACAAGATGAAAATGGGTATGTTGCCAAGGTGATTCAAACTGTTAAGAGGCTATGCCTCTCTTTGTGTGTGTATTCTGCTTTCATAAACTATTTTTGGAAATTTACTTTGCCTAGATTCATTCTTTGCTGTGAATCACAGATAACACTCCTACCCAGGTTGGAGAGAAGATGGGATTTTCCATGACCAAAACCACGTTGTTGATGCCTATGTTCTGATATCCGGTAGAAGCAAGTGGAAAAGATAGGAAAGCGAAAAGCATTGCTTTTCATGCACAGTGACCATATATAGTGCTGCCTTTAGGAAATCTGTAAAGATACTTTGCTTTCTTCAAGCTTTTCATGATTTCATCATTCATGTTTTAATTTACTTGCCTTCATCTTATTTTGTGTTTTCTCCTTTGCCTTTTGTGTGTGTTATTTTAAATCATTATAAACTATCTTATGTGTTCTTTCTGAATACAAAAGCAGCATGTAAATCAAATACATTAATAAACTAATATTAACATTTCCCTAATCAAGCCAAGGCTAAATCTGTACAGCTGGAAGTATAAGCTTGTGCTAAAATGGGCTATAGTTGGAGCACAGAAATATGGCAGAATCATAGGAAGGTCAGTTGAGAGATTGGTTCATGTCTCACGCTAAGTTGTGGCTTCCTTAACGTGGTCTATTTATAAGCCACTACTGGCTACATCCATACAACATGCTAGCTCAACAAACCAACCACCATTTAGTGATGTGTAAACCTAGCCACCAAGCTGATTTAAGGGGAAGTGAGCAATGGGAGGAAGAATGAAGATGGCAGCCTGGCTGCTGCACAGATCAAGGTCTTGAAGCAGTAGCAAAGGTGTTTTAGAAGAAAGCACTGAACTTTCGCCCCTAGTGGAAAGTTATGCGTGGACCTTGGAAGAAAGAGAATACCATCAAGCAGTTAAGCCAAGGGCTAAATCAGACACATCTTGATTATCTGAGATGCTCTTGTACAACGCAATCCATCTGATCTGCTGTTAGGGAGCCCCTCCTAAGTACCCCCAGAGGTTTAGCTCAGGCAGATTCCATTACTGTACAGGACTGATTAATCCAAAGAGAGGCCTAAAGTAATTCAGTTATAAACCTTTCAGGTGTGTTTGATCTAATATCAAACTGGGTGTGCATTCTAAATTCACTGTGATTGAAGATTTTCATTGAAAAGAAAAAAGAAAATTTGCACCAGAGACCCACGGCCAAAGCAGCTGTCAGCTTTTGTTAGGAGCTGAAGCCCTATATCACATGCATCTTTCCTGTCGGATCCACCCTTGGAATAAGCTCCAGTGTACTCAGCAATATTTGGCTGACCTCATACGAGTTCAGAAGCTAGGCAAAGTTGAACATGGTTAGTATTTGGATGGGATTCACCAGAAAACACCAGGACTGTAGGGATGGACTGGGACGTTGAGGAAAACAAACCCCCACGGAAGGGCCTGGCAAATTACTTGTCCTGTTGCCAAGAAAACTACTTGGATGTGTCCATGAAGTCAGTGTGTACTTTAGTTTTACTCTAAGGTAAATATATATAGGATTGTTGCCTGCGTGATCCTGTGAATCCACTCCAAGAGGCAGAGGCAACTAGTTATTTTGGATTAATTAAGGGTGACCCATATCGGCTTTTGAAAAAAAAATGTTTTCTTTTTACTTTATTGTACCTGCACACTTACTCTTGTACAAAGTGGCCCAGAAACATGAAATACATCTAAGAATGATGCATTCTTGAGATCTCTTGTAGCACAGCGTTGCTGCGATTGTAAGAAGACACCACTAAAACAGCCAAACTGGCTGGCCTAATTTAGCCTGTTATGGAGATAGCTGATGGCTGTTCTCATATTGAATGAGAAGCCTCTGCCGCACCATGGGAATTAAGACCTGTGTAAAAGCAGAAGACCCAAGATCCAAATGGGAGGGTGTTGGGCTGGTAAGATCTGAGGAGAGGGCTTCAAGGATCTAGGGCTGACCACCTCCAAAACCAAGCACATTCCAGAATATTAAGCTATCTCGTTCTCACCCTTTACATTTGTAAATAAATAGGACACCTTCCAGAATAAACCAAACTGAGCAGCAGCGCTGGCCATTTCCCTGCTATGTTTTACCTTTCCACTGCGTTTTAAAGTTCAACAGGAAAATGCCCCACGTAAGCCCTGTTGACCTAAACCAGTGAACCTATTTCAAGGAATCCCCTTCTTGTTAAGCCCCTCCCCCATCTTTGCCGAGCGGCTGGATTGCAACCCCCACCGTCCCCTTCCACGCTGGCCGTGACCATGGGAGCTGCGGTCCTGCGCATCCAGGGGGCACCAGGTTGGGGAATGTCGCTCTACCTCCCAATCCCGCAAAGCCTTTTACTCTGTGCCGGGAGCGCAGGACTCGAGACCGTTCTTCCGAATTAAGCCACCCGGCGCTTGCAGCGGTGACCTGGCCCCGGGGTGGGCGGGGGGCCGCTTTCGCCAATGAACGTTCAGCGGTCTCAGGCTGAGGCTGCCGGCGAAGGACCCCCTCCCCGCCACCCAAACGCACCGCCTCGAAGCCGCTTCCCGCTCTTCGCCC